ATATTAAAATTTTGTTTGCACGGAGCGTGGTCCTAGAAGCTAGTTTGAATTATATTTATGTATTTCAACAAATATTTTCCAATTTAGTCTTGAATAAGTGTTTTTTCAACCATGGCCAGGTTAATGGCACTGTTTTAAATAATAATTTTCACCACAAATCATGTATTTAGTTTGTTTCAGTTAAATGAAATGTATGATTTTTTTATTGATGTATTAAAGTTTAAGTGAAGATTTCATTTTCACGCATAAATATCGTACTGTTTGTTCATGTTGTCGTATTTTAATTTAAATTCCATGTCTGGGACCAGGGTAAAACTATTAAAAAAATAAGTATTTGAAAAATACACGACGAGGAGAAAAAAAAAGAGTTACAAATAAGCTTTAATTTTTGACAATGCTTTTATATATCAGAAATAAGAATCTTTAATGGAAATCCACTTTTGAAACCCATACATGGAGTAAAATATTTAAATATGATTGAAAATCGGATCATTTTTGATTAAAAATAACATTTATCGCTATTTCTCAGTATACACTTAACATTCTGGTCGCACTTTAGTTTAGGGTGCAATTCTCACTATTAACTAACTATTAACTATGACTTTTGCCTCAGTAAACTCTTACGGTATAATGTATTGGGTGATTAAGGGATGTAGAATATGATTATGCAGCATAAGATATTAATATGTGCTTTATAAACAGCCAATATCCTAGTTATACGCATGCTAATAAGCAACTATTAATAGTGAGAATTGGACCCAAAACTAAAATGACATTTCTTACTAGTTTGCCAAATCGGAGTCATTTTTTATTTTTTCCTGGACCTTGCCGCATTGCATTCTGGGATTGCCTCCTTTACAAAGCATACATGCAATCCTGCCTTATAAAAGTGCCAAAACAAGGCATAGATTTAACCCAGTGTTTATTTCCCTAATGCAAGCAGCCAGTTCATGTTCAGTCTTACACATTTCATGTGTCCATGTCTTTTGAAGGGTGTCTTTCCCAGTTCTTGGAAGCGGCGTCGTGGTGGAGCCGGCACCATTTTACAGCTCCCGGAAAAGAGAGAGGGGTCGAGAACAAGAGATCGAGAGAAGCGCAGGAGACATCAGTGAGAGAAAGAGGTGGGAGATGGCGAGTGAAAGCGAGGGAACGAGCGAAAGAGGAGAACAAAGCTCGTGTGAAAGAGAGCAAGAGTGAGAGAGGAGGTGAGAGGGAGACGTTTGTAAGTGTGTTCGCGTCCAGAGAGAGCGAGAGAAAGGAGGAGAAAGTCAAGAGAAGAATGAGAGCGCTTTCTCCTGCTGTCCCTGCGCGACAGGTCCCGCTCGCCTTTCCATGTGTTAATTACACATGTAAGGCTATTATAACCCTGCCAGGACTCCTGCTGACTGGGGAAATGAAGGCGGCGCACTCCAGCGCCAGACTACAGATAATAGTTTCCCTCCTGCATTTTCACAGGCCGCGGTAACTAACTCTGGAGAGGAGGCGAGTCGGGGAACACGGTTAGCATGGAGATGTCCGCGTAACTACCTAAGAAAGTGTGTCGAGCGGAGCCTGCATGTGTTTCATTTAAGGCATCGGCCTGTTACCAAAACCTGTGATCCGACTCAAAGGATAAAGGGAAGTTTATTTCTGTGCAGGGAATTGTGGGAATGTCAATTTGCGGTTTTTCACTGTAAATCACACAATAAGTTGTTCTTTTCACTTTCAAAAACCAGATTTATCACAGTCATTTACCCGTATCTAGTAAGAAAACGTTTGGTTAACCAATTAACAATTTTGCACTGTAGCATTTTTGAGCCATTCCACCGAAAGGGTGACATTTCTGTCCCCAGGACCTTATATGTATATAATTGCATGAAAATTATCTCTAAAATACATTTTATTATTAAGAAAAATGTCATGCACATTTAGCTAACTACAAATTTAAAAAGTATAATTAAAAACATTAACGAAAACGACACAGAACACTAAAAAATATCGATCTCTAAACTTTACCATGAAATATTATGATTAAAATCCTTCAGAAATCTGATTTTTCTTGCATTTTTGTATGACTTTATTTCCAAACTGCTTTAAAATGATAAAAGAAAAATATTTTAATATCTAATATATTTTAATAACCAATAATATCTAATAATATTTTTAGATAAAATACACATTTTAGTCATGTCCCTAGGTTTTCACTCAGTCCTGTTACACTATTACATCCCCCTACTGAATAACGTGGAATATTCCACAAGACACATTTTCAACAGTAAGTTTCATCATCTGGATCTTCTGAAGGCAATGGGGCGACTATAAGTCACTCCTCTCATTTTCGTTTCTGTATATTTGATGAAATTGTAACTATGAATGAGAAGGTCAATCTCAACATACAGTCCTGTTATCTAAACGTTTTCTTAGATTTAATTGTTTTATTTTAAAAATATTAACTTTTGGTAAGGCACTAGAAATGGCTCAGTGTCCTCACGCTATTAGCATCAATGCTATGTGGCCATATGCCATATATTTGATAACCTTTTGCTTAAAAACTCAATCCTGTTACCTTCAGTCCTGTTACTTTTTCTAAAAAAATAAAATTAAACCACTATTTTTATCATTTTTTGTTTGGCCCATAATTTATACAATTATTTAATTAATTAATTCTAAAAAAATATATAAGCTTGAGGCTTCAGTCGTCTTTAAAATGAAAAAATGCCTTTGTGCTTTTTATATCAAAATACACCTTGCTTTAATAGTGATTTTATTGGCATTTTTTAATTTTTTGAACATATAACCAACAGTTTCTTTAAAATAAACACTTTCTTGTGGGAAAAACAAAGGAATTAATTGACATGCTTCTAAACTTGCTTTTTAAATGACATGATTTTTGGTAACAGGATTGAGAAAACATGCATCCATATTCTGCTTAAACCTTGTAAAAAAATAAATAAAGTTGCCTGAGATTGACCAATACAAATTTTAAATAGTTAAATATGTGTAGTATTAGATTCAATGTTGAAAAAGTTCAAAAATAAAGTTTATTTTTGAAGAGTTACAACAAGCAAATGTCACCCATTCGGTGGAATGGCCCTTTTACTGTTCAATTGTTTTACTGTGTAGCATTTGACACCACACCATCACCTTACTGTAGTTTTTAAGGGTTTCTGTACAGCGTGATTGTTTTCCATTATGAATAGTCACATGAAATGCTGTGCTCTCGATGAAGTATGTACTTACTCTCTTCATTTGTTCACACAAGGACACAGAATGAGGCCAATAAGCTGAAGATGATCTGATCAACTTCCCTCACAGCAGGGCATGCTGGGATAGCACTCCGTCGACATCCTGCCCCGGGTCACACGCGTCCTCATAAATATTCATGACGGAATTTCACAGCTCGCTCTGGATCTGCAGCAATCACAGGATTTCACTCATTAATTATTTTTTAAAGAAATTATCACTTTTTTTTCTTTAGAAAAGCATTGTTAGAACAACAATAAGAGCGATGAGCTTGTTTATCAGACACATCAAACGCAGCCTCGACTCTTAACGCTGAACCTTCAAGGACAAACAAAGCCTGAAATAAGAGCGAGAGGGTTTAACTCCGTGTCTTTGTGTTTAAACAGCACAAGGCCATCTGAAAGCTGATCTCATATTCTCCTGAGCTTCTCCTCATAATGTCTGTTAATCTACAGCTGCAGGGTTTGCAACTGACCTCCTTTTTTTAGTTTGACGGCAGAAAACGCTGCATCTTCCATCCCTCGCTGAAGCTTTGATGAGTTTGGTGCAGTCACATCCGAGAACACAACAAGACCGACGCCAACATCAGATCTAGAGCAGAAATATACGTTTGAGGAGATTCATTCAGGGCAACAGGCCATCAAATAGTTCAAGTCACTTTAGGCCTGTGCAAAGATTAATTGCGATTAACCCAAAATAAAAGTTTGTGTTTACATGTGTGTGTGCTCTGAAATACACACCCATGCATGTATATATTTAAGAAAATGTGTTATTCATATATAAAATATTTATATATATATATAACATGGATTATGTATTTATATATTTACGTGCAAATAATTCTTAAATATATACATGCATGCATATTCTACACAGCACACAGATACATACATCATGTAAACACAAACTTTTATTTTGGATAATAATCTTTGCACAGCTCTAATTTATTTATAAAGCACATTTAAAACCTTGGTTGACCAAAGTGCTGTGCAAGAAATATCTAGATCCATCCCCAAAATTAAAATAAACATTCACAAGACATTAAAAACACAAGAGGAGAAAAACATCGCATTCAGTGTGGAGGTGGACGCTCGTGATCAATGATCGGTCAGTGATCTGACCTTAAAATCAATGTGATACTGAATAGGTAAGCAAGCTTTCGTTTTACCTTACGCTGCATCGTACAGTTCATCGCCAACCTGGAGGAGAGTATCTAAAAACATAAAGTTAAGAACTAAAATGAAATAACCAACACCTCAGCGTGCGATAAAAAGGTCAAATAAATCAAATTAAATTATAAAATAAAAAGTAGGTTAAAATAAAAATAATTAAATTAAATAAAATGTAAAAAATATCTTGAAATATTGTAATAAAATTACAGGAATGTAATGTGTATTTATGATAAGTAAGTAATATTGGTGTGTAAGTAAATAAAATAATAATTAATATTTGAATGAAGAAAAAACAGACAGATTATATAATAGAAATAAATATTAAAAAGTACCAAGATAGTGACAAAGTCATAATACTGTGACGTGAACGTAATAATAAAATAACGTAATTTAAAAAAAAAAAAAAACACTTCTTCTGTATTATATCTGTAGATGTTGGTGTGAATATGCATCAGATAAAACATCAGGTTGGGATCATTTTTAGACATGACAATACTATAATATGTAAGTACCATGGTGATCATTCATAAATCTACTATAATATTAATAAGAGACTTTCCAATAAATTCCCATTGGTTGACATTACAGTAGTTAATGCACTGAGAATGACGTTAAATTATCATCGTTACTTCTTGGTCCATTAAATAACATTAACAGGTGCAACTTTTGATTTTAATAATGTGTCAGAAAACGTTTAGATTGCATTATTCGAAAGTGTTTCCAAAGTGTTACCAAATTCACCTCACGAGGACCAGTAAATAATGACCGTTCCTTGAAAATGTCCCTTTTCGGCCCAAACTGATGCGGAACCCCATTAAACTGCACTTATCCTGCGGACAGATGTTTTTTCCCTCTGGCCAGCGGTCGGGGAGGTTCACGAGCGGGGCAGATCTCGACCCGAGACAGAGATTGGCCGGTTCCTGTCGAGATCCTCGATTAGTGCTGTCAGCCCCACAGCCAAGCTGTTTCTAATGAGACGTGCAGACAGAGAGATGTCGCGTCCACGGGTGGCCCTCTCACTCGAAAATGAGACTGGTCGACACGTACGCGTGACAGGGAAGGTGGGAAAGGTGACAGAGGACGGGGGTGGATGTCACGAGGGGGGGCGAGACGGGTCAGCCGAGGGCTGCCAGAAACACGAGATGAGTGACAGGTGAAGCGGGTGAAGAGATGTCAGGGAGCCGTGGCGTCTGCCATCCCAGAGACATGAGTGGATAATTACATGGTCAGTGATGTTGCTCGGCCTCTCCAGCCTCTTTATTTTCTGCCTCCTCGCACGGGTGAGTCTCCGTGAGGCCTGTGGGAAAGAGAATGACACTGATTGTTGGGCAAAATAATAGGGGTGTGCATTGGCACTGCCCTCACAATTCGATTCGATTGCGATTCACCAGGTAACGATTCGATTCATATCGATGCTTCAAAATTCTACGGCAAATTTTTCATCAGCTGGGATGCGTCGACTTTGTGTGTTGTTGTTGTTGTTGAAGCCAACTCAGCAGGATGCCGACGATCAACTTGGTTCGTGAAGTTAGTTGTATTGATTTTAGTGTGGCAGGTTTTACACACCGCGTAAGTCTTATCTAGTTTCCCATTAAAGGATTAGTTCACTTTTGAAAAAACTTTTGCTGATAATTTACTCACCCCCATGTCATCCAAGATGTCCATGTCTTTCTTTCCTCAGTCGGAAAGAAATTAAGGTTTTTGATGAAAACATTCCAGGATTTTTCTCCTTATAATGGACTTCAATGGGGTCCAACCGAAGTCCAAACGACAGTTAATAACAGTTTCAGATGCAGCTTCAAATGTCTTTAAACGACACCAGACGATGAATAAGGGTCTTATCATGCGAAACGATCGGTTATTTCAAACCGTATTACAAAAATGTAACTTTTCTAAGGACAAACGCTAGCCTTGCTCTATTCTGTGAGGCGCGTTTGTAACGTCACGTAATACGTAATTACGTTCAAAAGGTCACGGGCGACGTAGCCAGAAGTACAGAGTCAGAGTGTTTACAAGTTGAACGCATAGGTTGAACGTGAAAACTAACTCAAACGGCGTTTACAAAAAAAGGAATTAAAAGGTAAAACAACGATGTCGGACGATTTTGATTCTGTACTTCCGGCTACGTCGCCCGTGACCTTTTCAAGGTAATTACGTATTACGTGACGTTACAAACGCGCCTCACAGAATAGAGCAAGGCTAGCATTTGTCCTTAGAAAAGTTACAATTTTGGAATAAGCTTTGAAATAACCGATCGTTTCGCATGATAAGACCCTTATTCATCGTCTGGTGTCGTTTAAAGAGCTGCATCTGAAACTTTTATTAACTGTCTTTTGGACCTTGGACTGTCTGGTTCCCATTGAAGTCCATTACATGGAGAAAAATCCTGGAATGTTTTCATCAAAAACCTAAATTTCTTTTCGGCTGAAGAAAGAAAGACATGGACATGTGGGTGAGTAATTTATCAGCAAAAGTTTTTTCAAAAGTGAACTACTCCTTTAACTTTGTAGAATCCGAAATGTGCCCAGATTTGTTTTTGTGCCCGCTTTCCAAGCTTTGGGTGTGTTTTTGATTACGTCTATCGCGGTCATCTCCCTCAGCCATCTTTATTGTTATTATGCCCCCGGACAGACTGATCTCATGAAATGGCGTATGTATGACACGCCAATTCGTATTCCATTTTTGATGTGCTATCAACACGCATAATCGCTTTTCAACGTGTTTATGAACACCGTTGACTTAACATTACATTACTGTATATATAAATATATGACCTACCCCAACCCCATCCCTAAACCTACCCGTCACTGGGGTTAATGGCATTTATGAGTGTTTTTCCCATCCTAGGGAAAAAATATCGCTCCCAAGATGTAGATCTACATTTTACTTCGTTTCGCTCGAACATTTAACGGCATACATACACGCGGAATCACTCGGACATTTTCATTTCCTAGTCGCAAGTTCATTTCCTAGTTTACCGACGTGTGTCGGTGGAGGAAAAAAGCCCGCTTTGCGCAGGTGCAAAATAGGAATGAGACATGCGTTAGTGTATAAAGTCATTTGTGCCGGGTGCAAGACAGAGCCCATAGTGCTAAAATACGGCCACCGTTCATTTTTCACAAGTTCTTCGACACAAATCACTACCGGACGTGTTTGTAGTTACTTTGAGCCTGTCGAACGTGCGGAGATCACAAAGATCTCTCTCATCCTCACACGCTTGTTTCATCTGGAGAGAATGATCTCTTTCTTGCCGACGACATTCCCGTCCTCCCGTTCCATCTGCCCACGAGACTCATGGGATTTCTCCCGGAGCTCTTTCATGTCCAACAGGATACAAGACAGGAATCTCAGATAGTGCTGGTGTGGATGAGAGAGGCACACGCTACAGGAAGTCCACCTCAGAGGAAAGCGTGTGTTCCTCCGTCAGCCGGTAAACGATGAGCATATGCTGGAGTCCAGGAGATCAGATGTTCACTGCAGGACATTCACAGAACTAAGGGTTTTAGTGCACTTATCAATACATTTACCTGCTCGCATTTGGTGGAGTGCTGCTCATAACATCCAACATCAGTTTCAAGATGGTTGCACTCAAAAAGGACAAAAACAACATTATAAATTAGGATGCATTATTGGTTATACTTGTACACACAGCAAATGTGGATCTCGCCAGCAAGCTCAGTCAACATAATACACGTTTTAAACTAAAATGAAACGAAGTGATACGAACTGAATTGAAATCAAAGACTAACAGACAGTCCACAAAGAAAACATCGGACGTGTGTCCTGTGAGAGTCGACAACTTAGGATGACCAAGTGTTAAACCAAGTGTTAAACCGACTACACATGCTAAATCGATCAATTAAAATCTAAACTGTGAAAGTAGTCTTTGATCGTGTCTAACTATGCATGCAAATGCAAATGCGAACGCGCATCACAGAACAGAGCAAAGCGAGCATTTGAGCTTATAAAACTATTTACTTTTTAAATGAGCGATCATTTCGCTTGATAAGACCCTTATTCATCGTCTGGTGTCGTTTAAAGCCCTTTGAAGCTGCACTGAAACTCTCATTTGGACCTTGAACCGTTTGGTTCCCAATGAAGTGCATTATTGTAGTCGAGACCACCTCACTCGAGTCCGAGTCGACACCGAGACCAGAGAGAGTCGAGTCCGAGTCAAGACCGAGACCAGAGACGGTCGAATCCGAGTCGAGACCAGTGAGGGTTGATTACCTAATTTACTTTTATTTACTTAGAGAAATCCTTTTTTTTTTTTTTTTTTACTAAATTTACTTGGAGTTTAAAAAATATGATCAGTTTAGGGTAAAAAGGCCACATAGTAGGTGGTGTTAAAAGTAATTTTATTACAATTTGTCATGCGCAGTTGCGCACTAGAAAATCACCAATCACTGGGCGTGTCAATCAATTTAAAGAAATATTTTATTAACATACATTAATAATTATGAAAAATATTTTTAATTGAACTCGAGTGGACTCGGGAATAATTCCGAGTCCTAAAAAAAAAAATGTTCGAGTACGAGTCAATTCCGAGTCCAAATGGACACGAGTCCATGACAAGACCAAGACCATTAAAATATGGTCTCGAGACCGAGTCCGAGTCTGTAGAAAATCCTGGAATGTTTTCATCAAAAACCTTAATTTCTTTTCGACTGAAGAAAGAAAGACATCTTACTTCTTACACAACATACTTAAGATTTCATTTTGGCTGATTTCCTTCTTGATTGTGTTGAGAATCTTTCTACTTCTACAACACAAATTTTTACATTTTTTGCAACCCTTTTCACAAGGCCTTTCCAATTTCACTGGATTGTCACAACAATGTGTTACTTACAAAGACGCGTAAGAAATATCGGACAAAATAAACAGCAGAAACATGAAAACGGTACATTAACAAATCGATGCGGAGTCAATGGATGGACGGCTCAAAGCGTCTGCTTGCACTCCAAAAAACCTTTCCTTTTGACTCTGTGGAAATCAGTATTCATATCCAGACACAGTCTCCTATTGTAACACATTGGTTAGTAAAAAATAAATAAATAAACACCACCCTGGAAAAAGCACCCACAGTAGTTACGCTCTGAGCTTTGATAAAAGAAGAGAAACTGGCTCTTGAAAGCTTGAAGAGTCAGATCCAGCAGTCGAACAGAAGAGCCCTACAGCGAGACACGCATTCGGTCCTGCATGGTGGGCCTAAATCAATACACATTAACAGGTTAAAAGAAATGGGAGAGAGGGGCTGCGTTTACGCACTGCATCTCAATAATATCGACAGGTATGTGGTATTATATTTGTAAGAGAGAGGCAAAGAAAGACCTTGAGAGCTGCTCTATTGTATTGATGGGCTTTTGCTCTTTGCCAAAGAGGAAGCACTTTCCAGCCCGCTCTTTAATCTGAAGCAGGTCTGATGGGACTCGAGGAGGAAGACTTCAGAGCGTGCAGCGGGGGGGAAAAAAAGCAAGCCCTGCTTTCTCGGCGTAATGACGAGGAAGAGGAGGAATGATAAAAACCAAAAAACACAAAAACAAACAAAGCTGAAAGAAAGAAAGCATCGGTACAGTTGGGCTGATGAGAGACGTCCGTGAGTGTTATTGTGCATGAACGCTCGTAAGTGCATGACAAGACGTCTATAAAAGCAGAGCGGAAATATGGACAAGAATGTTCTGTCCAGACGAGATTTTTTTTTTTAAATTGAACTAATGTTTTCAAAACATGGACTGAAGACAATCATAGTCAAAGGGGTTTGCTAAGGTGAGACTCACATAGTGCTCACAGTGATTTTGATCAAATCACAACTGAATAGAAAACCCCATGAACACCTTAGCAACGGCATAGCAACATCCTAGCAACCAGCGGAACACCTTTGAAACTGACTATATCGCAGTGCCCTACTAAACAACCCAAAACACCTTATAGGATTTGCATAGCAACGCCCAATCATCCAGAACACCTTAACAATTTCATATTAATGCTCCCAACAACCAGCCAGAACACCTTAGCAACAACCTAGAAACCACCTAAAAACTACTTAGAAACCACTAGTAACCAATCCGAATACCTTATAGCAACATCCTAGCAACCAAACTACACTTGACTGCATCAATGCCCTAGCAAACATCCCAGCAACTACCCAGAACACCTTAGCAATTGCATAGCAACATCCTAGCAACCAGTGGAACACCTTTGAAACTGACTATTTTGCAGTGCCCTAGCAAACAATCCAGATCACCTTATAGGATTTGCATAGCAACGCCCAACCACCCAGAACACCTTAACAATTTC